CCAGGGCCTGGGTTCAGAGTGCACGCATGACGTACCGCATTGCCTGAACCCACCTGTGTAAACCGTTCGGAAACATTTCCCAAAAACGAGCGTGGGGTCAGCACGTGGCTGACCTGACCTGGATTGGGGTCAAATGGCCAATCACCAGCCTCCGCGATCGCCCTGGACCAGCGGCTGGTCCGCCCCGGCTCGCTGTCGCGGGGCTGGACACACAGGTCAACCCCGGGGCCCGGCCGTGCTCTCGACCAATGGGGAGCTGTCAGGTGCCGGGCCGGACACACAGCCACCCCCGGGTCCGGCCGTGCTCTCGACCAACGGGGAGCTGTCAGGTGTTGGGCCGGACACACAGTCACCCCCGGGTCCGGCCGTGCTCCCGACCGATGGGGAACGGTCAGGGACAGGGCCGTGTTCACCGGTGAAGTCTGGTCGGGCGCGCCACTATAGTGCCGGGCCGCGTTGTCCGGACGTACCCACCGGTCTAGACCGACTGGGGCGACTGGGCCGCGTGGCCCGGGCGTACCGGTTTAGGCCGGCGGGGTGTCCGGGCTCGCCAATTTAGGCCGGCGGACACGGGCTGGACGGTGGGGCGCGCCGGGCCGTGTGGCCCGTCCGCCGGCCCGGCGGCCGGCCGCTGACGCTCGGCCATTTAGGTCAATCGATGGCGCGAATCAATGTCACGAGTCGGCGGAAGCGGCGCGCCGCTGGCGGCAGGCCGACTGCCGGAAAAGCCGGCCGGCTACCGCGAATCTGGCTTGCATGTGCGCTATCATCTGACCGCCAGGAGAGGGCGAGTGACGCCCGGGACATGCACCGGCTGTCTGAGAGCCGGCCGCGCGAGCTGCCCGCGGCTGTACGAGCCTCAGCGGCTCCGCTACGGAAGCTGTCGACGTGCTATCGTCAGTAGCCTGTCTCGTTAACCACACTCGAAGGTGAACTGCGTAGTGGCGCCCGTGCGAAACTATTGGATGGCGTGCGGAGTAGAAGAGACTGCTTACAGAAGGCTGGGGCAACATCAGTAAACAGTGAGCATGGATTACAGCTCGTAGCTCGTGTATGCTTTCCGGTATCGAAGTCATGACGTAATTCTCGCGAAAGCCATTGAACCGTACATGCTGCGGTAAGTAGTAGAGCCAGAACAGAGGTCATGGCTTTGTTTCGGCTGGCCGTTACAGTTAACGTGTTAATTTGCGAGATTGAACGCTCACTATTACAGCAATTACGTGCTCTGCATACAAAGACAGTAAACGGTATTCATTGAAAAGCCAAAAGACTGCATAAGTTCGTCCGGCCCCAGCTGAGCTGTGTATTTCACCGCCATTTAGTTCATTGATGTGCATGTGATTGCTGCGGGGGTGATTGGTGAGACTCGCTGCATGGTGCGCCA